CCGCGGCCCCCCATGTCCCCACGTTACCGCGGAGTCACACCACCGCCGTGGCGGGGATGCTCACGGACACGGATGTGTCTAAGCTCTCTCTAAGCTTAGCTGGTGGCCACCCAAAGGGGTTGAGGCACTCATGGCAGTGTCCCCAGTGGGTGACATGGGACAGCAGGCCACGGGGTGACGTGATGCTGGGGGTGATGCAGCGGATGGTGGAGCCTCGTGGAAACGTGGGGCTGGGCCAGCGTGGCCTTCGCAAAACCCCAGCTCGGCGCAGGGGTGACTAAGTCACCCCCCACGCACCTGGGAGGGGACATGGGGACACGTGTGTCCCCCATGGGGCTTACCTGGGCCCAGCAGAGAAGGGGACGAAGGCCAGCGGGGACCGTCCCTGCATGTTCTCCGGACCCGCAGCGGGTCGAAGACCTGGGGCAACATGGATGCCGTCACGCCAGTAGGGGACATGTGGCACAGGGGAACGTGTCCATGCCAGGGTGGTGAAATGTGGCCCAGGGGACATGCTCATGACAGGACAGTGACATGTGGCACATGTGCCAGGACAGTATTGCGCGGCCCAGGGGTCACGTCCATTCCAGGATGGCAATGTGTGGCCCAGAAGGATGTGTCCATGCCAGCACAGCACCACCTGGCATGAGGTCAACATGTCTGTGGCAGGACAGTGACACATGGCCCCAGCCTGCGGTGCCAGGGACGTTGCCACCTTGGGGGGCCCAACCACCCTGGGATTGTCCTGCAGTGGGTCCTGCAGCCAGGCCACCACAGCCGGGCCACCGGGGCTCTACCTGGGGCTCGGGCCAGACAGCTGGGTTGTGGTGTGTCCCATAGATGCTCAGCAGGCAGGTGGTCCCTGGTGGGATGGAAACGGCCACGTTAGGGGACAGGGAACAGGAGGGACGAGGCCGCTAGGGGCCACGCGGGCGAGCCGTACCGCTGGGGACGACGTGGCCGTCATGCAGCGTGATGTCCTTGGTGCAGCGTCGTGACACGGCAGTGACTGGCGGGTGCAGCCGGAGGCTCTCCTTGATGCACATGGTGGTGAAGGGCAGGTGGGACAAATCTTCCCTGCGGGGACCACGATGTGAGGGGCGGTGGCCCTGGCATCGTCAAATTGGGGGTGGGGGCCCCGGGGGGGCCTCTCACCATTCGATTTCCTCCACGTCCCTGTCCTTGAGGAGCTCCCGGACCTCTTGGCGGCACCGCTCCTGGTGGTGAGGGTGGCAGGCCAGGTTGTAGAGCAGCTGTGTCAGGCCACTGGCTGTGGTGTCATGGCCTGCAGGGAGGAGGGGTAAGTGTGAGGACGCCTGGCCTGGCTCCGAGCACCCACAACCCACCACAGTGGGGGACCCCAGGACCCCCTCACCCTCGAACATGAACGTGTCGGCCTCAGCTGAGATGTCCTCGTCTGACAGGTCCCTGCCGTCCTCGTCCTGCAATGGGAGTGTGGCTGCGGAGGGGCCACGTGTGGCCACCACCCTACGGCCAACTTTCCCCATGGTCAACTCCCCCCGTGGCCACCACCGTCTCCCATGGCCACCAACCTCCCCAAGGCCACAACTCTCTCTCATAGCCACCACCCTACAGCCAACCTTCCCCATGAACAACCCTCACCATGGCCCCCACCATCTCCCATGGCCACCACCATCACCCACGGCCACCACCCTATGGCCCATCCCTTCCCAAGGTCGTCACCCTCCACCATGGCCACCACCCCACAGCCGCGCCACCCCCATCCCTGTCCCTCTGCTACCTTGGCAAGCAGCAGGAGGTCGATGAAGTCCATGCTCCGGCCCTGGTGGCCCTCCAGCCAGGCCTGGTGGCCCAGGCGCTCGAGGTCCCGGCGCCGGCGCTGCACCACGGCAGCGGTGAAGGCGTGCACGGTGGAGCAAGCGCGGGCGAAGCGGCGGCCGTCAGCCGAGACTGCGATGTACTTGCTGGGCCGCCTATGGGACACGAGGGGAGTGCTGTGGACGGGCGCCATGGGCCACCGAACGTGTCCCCTCAGCCCCGACACCTCCTAATTTGTGTCAGGCTGCGGTGGGGACACGGGGTGGCCCTCCTGCCCGCAGGGACACGAGGGGCCAGGCTGGGTCTGACACTGCAGGGGGGACCCAATGGGGACAGAGCTGGGGTGCCGGTGGACACTGGTGGGGACAGAGCCGGGAGGGACAACTGGGAGCAAGAGTGGGAGCCTGGAAAGGGCAGAGTCAAGGTGGAGGGATGCAGGTGGTAGACAGAGCTGGGGTTGGGGGGGACCCTGGGTGCGAGGTACCCGAGTGGGGACCAAGACAGGGTAAAGGGGTGAGCCTGGTGAGGCCTGAGCTGGGGCCAGGTGGCCCCAGCTCGGGGACAGAGTCGGGGTAAGGGAGGGCCGTGGGTGTGGGGGACCCTGGCAGGGGACAGAGCTGGGGTAAGGGGTGACCTCGATGGGTGCAAAGCCCAGGGGGACCCTGGTGTGGACCAAGCTGGGGCAAGGGGGGACCTCAGGTGCAGGGGGACCCCAGCAGGGGACCGAGCCGGGGCAAGGGGGACCTGGTGGGATGACCAGGGGACCCTGGCTGAAGGGACCGGGAGGATTCAAGGGGACCCGAGTCCCATGGTGGCGCTCACTCCTGGCAGTGACTGTCATGGCTGAAGATGCATTTCTGGAGGGTGTCAAGGGTGAGCAGGGCCAGGGGCTCAAAGACGTCCAGCACCACCGGTGCCCCCGCCGCCACTTGGCCTGTGGATGGGGATCGGGGTCCGGGTGTGAGTTGAGGTCTGGGTGCGGGGTCTGGGTGAGGGGCAGCGGGTGCGGTTCGGGATCCAGGTGTGGGGCAGCGGGTGCAGGTTGGGATCTGGGTGTGGGTTGGTGTCTGGGAGCAGGGCAGCGGGTATGGTTTGGAGTTTGGGTGCAGGGTCTTGGGTGCAGGGCAGTGGGTGAAGGTTGGGGTCCAGGTGTGGGGTCCAGAGTGGGGCAGTGGGTGCAGGTTGGGGTCCAGGTGCGGGGTCTGGGAGCAGGGCAGAGGGTGAAGGTTGGGGTCCAGGTGTGGGGCAGCGGATGCAGGTTGGGTTTCAGGTGCAGGTTGGGGTCCAGGTGCGGGTTAGGATCTGGGTGTGGGGCAGCGGGTGCAGGTTGGGGTCCGTGTGCGTGCCAGCACCACGTGTCAGGGCCCGTGTGCACGCATGCACCGCGTGTGGGGGTCCAAGGAGCCTCACATGCATGATTTCTGTGCTCTGGTTGAAGATGCCCATGTAGGACTTGAGGATGTCGGGGTGAAAAGCCGGCGTCAGCAGGCGCCGGTGCCGGACCCACTTGCGCCCGTGGCTCAGCAGCAGCCCGTCCCCTGCAGCAAGAGACCTGGGTGCAGGCGGGCACCCATGGGTGCCACCGCACTGCCGATGTTCCCTGCCCGTCCCTACTCACCCAGCCAGGGCTTGAGGAAGTTGTAGAAGAGCTTGTCCTTGGGGGCGATGAAGGCTGCAAGAGGGTGGAGCCGGTGAGCGGTCCTGGGGGTCCTGTGCCCATGGCCCAGGGTCTGGGGGTGGGCTTTTGAGGTGGGCAGGGGATGGGTTGGGGTCCTTAGGGATGGAGGGACCTCCCACCCATGCACCCTTGGGGTGACCCCCCCAGGAGAGCGAGCGTAGCTCAGTGGGTCACGCTGAGCAGCGGACAGGGCACATGGCTGCTGGGGTGGATAGGGCAGACTAGTGCCGACGGAGCAAGATTGGGGCCCCCTCGGGACAGGTGTTTGGAAGCTCACTGGGCGGGCTGTGGGTGACACTTTGGGTGCCCCGGGGACCCTTGGCACAGGGCTGAGGCCCACCCCTTGATGCCATCACCTCCCACACCACCCCATGCCACGAGAGCATCTGTCCTCTGGCCCCAAGCTCCCAGACCCCAGGGCAGGACATGAGCCAGCCGGGGGGACCAAAAGAACCACGTCCACATGTGGCCTGGAGATCGCCCCAACCCAGGGGGAACGAGGGAGACCAGACCCCCACCCCGAAGCTACCTGAGGCCAGGAGCACAGGCCGGAGGGTGTCCGGGTGGAAGAGGCGGAGGATGGGCAGCCATGGTGCGACCCACCAGAGGCAGCAGTGGTGGTATCGTCCCACCACATCATCCACGTTCTGCAGGCCTTCCTCTGTGCTCTTCGCCTGCGGCGTGGGCACAGGTCAGCCGAGGCCCTGGGTTCACGGCCACCTTGGGGACACACTCACTCTGGGTTCATGACTGTCTCGGGGATGCCTTCAGGGTTCGTGGCCACCTTGGGGACATGGTTGGGGCTCAAGACTGGTCCTGGGGACATGCTCATGCGTCAGTCCATGGATGGGACATGTGTAGGCAGATGGGGCACAAGGCCCATGGATGGGACATGGGGACCTTGGACGGGACATGTGTCCAGGTATGGAATATGTGTCCATAGATGGGACATGGGGACCTTGGACGGGGCATGTGTCCATGGATGGGACACGTCCATGGATGGTGCATGTGCCCAAGGACTGTACATGTGCCCATAGATGGGGCACAAGGTCCATGGATGGGACATATGTCCCATAGATGGCGCATGTATCCATGGATGGGACACGTGCTCGTGGATGTGGCACATGTCCTTGGAAGGGACACATATCCATAGATGTGGCACATGTCCACAGATGGGACATGTGTCCATGGAATGGGACATGTCCACAGATGGGGCATGGGGTCCCCATGGGGTCCATAGATGGGACACATCCAGGGATGGGCCTCATGTCCATGGATGGGACGCATGCCCAGGACTGGCACATGGGGGTCCATTGATGGGACATGTGTCCATGTTTGGGATATGGGTCCATGGATGCGACATGGGGTCCATGGGTGGGACAGGGGGTCTGTGAATGGGCCACATGTCCATGGATGGGCCACGGGGTCCATGGGTGGGGTACATGTTCGTGGTTGGGATAGGGGTCCATGGATGGGCCAGGTGTCCACAGATGGGTCATGTAGCCATGGATGAGTCACGTGTCCACAGATGGGCCACATGTCCATGGATGGAGCACAGATCACAGCTGCATCATGTGCCCATGGCTGGATCCTGGTGCCACACCCAGCCAGGACACCTAAACCAGGTCTGGCTGGTGACGCCAGACCTGGAGCACAGTGGGGTGCTGTGGCTCTGCTGTGGGGTCCAGGGCTACCACCCTCCATGGACACCTCACCCTGGAGGCCAGCTCCCATGGCCAGACCCCACCACAGCAGCTTTGGTGGTGGTGATGGGTTTGCCACGCTGAGCTGAGCTCCAACGCACTCATCACAGCG